TAGAACTTCTATAGGAATTTATTTGAAGAATCTTTTCAGAAATTTCTTAGAAGCTTTTATAGGAAAATATTTCGAAAATATTTTTAGAAGCTTTCATAGGAAAATATTTCGAGAAGCAAAAGTTTTTTGAAGCTTTTATTATGAAAATATTTCGAGTTGTAGAATGAGAAGTTTCTTAGAAGCTTTTATAGAAAATTATTTCGAGAATATTTTTTAAAACTTTTATAGGAAAAAAAATTCGAGAATCGGAAGTTTTTTTTTTTTTTTTGAAGCTTTTATAGGAGTTCCAATACGAGGTTTGAAGTCTAAACCGAGCATGTCGATCATCAGAAAAATTCAAATTGATCACCAGAAAAAAAAAGAATTAGGAAATCATAAACTGAGAAATTCAGAAGAGCACCCAATGAACAATAGAAAGAAATCGAATCAAGAAATCGTGAACTGAGATCGTATGATTATCCACCCTTATAGAATCAATCATTAGTACACGTGAATTAGGAAATCATGGTTATAGCAGGGAGAAGCTGCCCTCCTTCCTTTCTTGCAACCGTGTGACTTCGTAAAAACTCCCGTAAGAAGAAAAACCCTTTGTCTCTCCTTCATCCACCCTCACTCAAACCCAACCCTTTCACCTTCGGGAGGGAAGAACAAAATTTCCTCCATCTATCTGCCCTACCAGCCTCAAGGGCCTGACATAACACCAACACAGGCAAACGAAGGTACCAATCGGCCATCCTCCTAAACTTCTCCAACATCGGGATGGTGGGGCAACATCTCGTTGAGCCTGCCAACGAGTTACCCCAGGGAGTTCAAGCTTACCGCAGAGACTTGAGTCCACCGCTTCACAGGGCAGATGAAAGTAGACAGAGGAGACCATGCATCCTATGCCGTCATCTCCAGCCGCTCTCCTTGTGGCGCCTTAATCAGCAAACATGTGCAGAAAGGGAAAGAAAGGATGTCGAAAGGAGAAAGGTCCACACGCTCGAATTCCATGGCGCGCCCTAAAACTTTGATATCTCGTGATCCTCTGGACCGTTCGGTCTGAAATTTGGACCACCTCAGCTCCTCAGTGTAGACCACCGGTGGTCCAAGTTTCAGCTCAGGGCGCACGCCCAATCGCGCGCAATCCTCGAGCGCGCGCGCGCTATTTTCCTTGCTGCGCGCTGTTATCCGACGCGCGCGGCTCCTCTCCATGGTGACCTTGATTGATGCTGTCGGGGCGCAGCGCGCCCGGTGTTAGCGCTCCAATACCTCTATTATCTCTATTTGCCTCGTTTGTGGAAAGTTGGGATTTGTACTTCGCGGCTTCACGCACCCTTCGGAGTAAAATTCAAGTGCGTTTGACAATATCTCCTTCTTTAATGGCAATATCACTACCAAAAACCACAGTTACTACACTCTTATTTTTTAGATTCAGTGTCATTCCTTTAACACCACTAGAAAACTCGACCATTTCTCCAGCTTGAATCTTGTTCAAACCATAAACATGTGCAATTTCATCTCCTACCAAAACCACTCGACCGATTTCATCCACTTGCAAACTGGTGTAATAATTTGTAACTCTTTGTTTTAATAAAGTAGATTGAAAGCCCTGAGGACCTTAGCTGATAAAGTAAAAAGGGGTCCCTTTTTTATTTTTGAGACTAAATGCATGTATCTTTCGAAATTGCCAGTCTTAGTTCAAATTAGTCCTCCACGCGGACAGTTAGCGACCGCGTAGAGAAATTCAAGAAACAATTGGGAATTTCGGTTGTTGGAATTCAAATTTTGTTTTGTGAAGTGCGTGCGACAATTTTCGAATTCTTGCATATCGCGTAAGCTCGGTTCCCGCTTTGCCCATGCGTGTCATTTTCCCCTCATGTTGAACGTTCCGCCGCGCATGACCCGTAGTCTTCTCTCGATGCTACGCTCAATCGGAGTCAATCCTCCTCTTACCCTTCCGGGCGATCAATTGGTCGTTAGTTGGGATGGCCGGATCAATGTCGCAAAAGCGAACATACGCGCGTGGCTTGGACATCCACCCCACTTGAACGAGAGATGTCAATCGCCCCACCTCCTTCGATCCTTCTGAAACCTCCTCTCTTCTTCCATTCTTCTCCTCTATACCCCTTGTTGCCCGCGCCGCACGTTGGCACCCCGCTGCCTTCCACGCTATAAATTCCCGCTGGCCCTTCCTCTCCTCCTCTTTGATCTCAGTTGCAATGTTGCACGAGCTATCCGCGAAGACCATGACGCCGAACAGGCTCGACGTGCCCAAGTGACGGGCGGAGTGACGAAGTGAGGTGGGCGGGCGAAGTGACGACATGAGATGGGATTAGCGGTAGACTTGGGGCGAGGCAGTCAGAGGAACTGAGCGGTGATGGAGATAGAACGTACCCAGCGCCAGGGCCTTGTGGCTGTGGTTGGTTGACGTTCGGGTTGGTTGAGAGTCATGCCCTAGGGTGGCTGGCCTTGTGGAATTTTGAATGGGGCGAGGGACTCGCTCTTTTCTCCATTGTTGCTTTGTCCAAGTGTTGTGTGTGCAGTAGACTAAGTGTGTACTCAGTCGCATGCATGATGTTGGTTATGAGGGTTTATGGACGTTGGTTGCTTCACTGTCCAGATATATCGATGTGGAATGGTGTCGGGAGTGTAAGGCGCACAAAGGCACGACCCAGGGGTAGTGTTGGGGTATCAAACGTCTGCCTGTATGCATGAGCGTGTTGATTTCCCTTGTTTTTCCTCGATTCTTACCGATTATTTGCACGACATGTGAGCATGGGGAGTCATCGTCGACTTTTCCCTCTCTCCCCTCTCACATGCGAGTGCCACGCATCAGTTGGTCCCGTGCCCCATCGGGCTGATTGTCGGCAACCAGAGACAGCGGTTGCATGCGTCTACTCGCGTCGCCTGCTCTCTTTGCTACCCGGCCATAGTCGTTTCGCTCTGGTAACCATTATGTGATCAACGACATTGTGTCCTTGAACTTGCAATTTTAAATTAAGTGGGAGGGACTAGGGCGAG